CTACTTTTGGGTCAGCCAATGGTTTGAGGTCAGGAGGCGGGGCGGGGGCGGGGGCGGGGACGAAGCGTGGCGGAGCTGACTCTCGGGCTGTGTGGAGAACCCCGAGTCCCGGAAGGCGGGTCTGGCCGGGGGCGACGCTGTCCTGGCACTCGGGGCGCTGGGCTGGGGAGATGGCCGCGCGATGGAGCAGCGAAAATGTGGTGGTGGAGTTCCGCGATTCTCAGGTGAGCAGGGGGCCGAATGGAGCCTTCTGGGCATGCGCCTTGGTTACCCTCCCCCACGCTGCTGGGCAGTCCTGGGGGCGGCGGGGAGACCCCCAGGCCCAGGCTGGCTGGCTGGGCAAAGGGGACCCGGAGCTGTCAGATCCGGACAGGCGAGGGGAGCCTTGATGGCCGTTGGGGTCAGTTGAGGTGGGCACGGACGGTGCTTAGGTGGTCCTCGTAGGGGTTCGGGGAGTGGGGTCCGCCTTCGGACACTGAAGAGCAGAGGTTGCGCGCGAGTGTTGAGGGGAGGCCACCCCCTACCGAGGGTGAACTAGGAGGTGCTTGCTCCCTGAAACCTTGGACCGCGCCTAGTGACTTCAGGCACGTCATACAACTTGCCTCGGCTCTGAGCCTCAGCTGCGTGGATTTAACCCTGTCTGACAGGGCTTGGTTAGGGTCGCTATCCAAATCGACTCGACAGCAACGGGTATGATTTTTTTTTGACAGGGTATGGGGGAGAACTCGATGAAAAACTGCATACAAAGAGTGCCTATTTCAGCGCCTAGGCTTCCTTAAGTAGTTGATAACTATAATAGTGAAAAATACCTTGTACTGAACAGGAGTGTGGACCACTGCATGTATTCTGCTATCACCCTTGGCACCTCAGTTTTCTCACCTGTAAAAGGAAGATAATCATACCTGCCGCATAGGGTTGGTGTGAGAATTTTATGAGGTAATACGTTTAGAACGTGTAGCACAGTGACACATGGTAAGCCTCAAGAAACGTTAGCATTTAATAGGGATTTTTGCCATTTCTCTTTTATATGCCTGGCCTTTTGCTAAGTGACTTAATCCACATTTTTTTTTCTTCCTAATTCATGAAAGTACCAATGCATAGTTAACAGATGTTAGCTCCTTTTCCCAAATGGAAATGCTGAGATTGAGCCCGAGTGACTTGCCCAGGGTCTCCTGTAATGTGACCACCTTGGCATTTGAATGCAGGTATCTGGCCCCAGAGCCCTTGTTGAGCTCATGACTCTACTTGGCCTTATAGTGGGTCTCTCTGGGCCTGTCATAGAGTTGTTCCACAATAAATATTATGTCCATGCTCCCCCAACATCTAGGACAGTGCCTTTTGTGTGCAGACTTTCAGTTACTCATTTATTCAGCAAGTATTTATTGAGCTTCTACCAGGTGCGCACTGTGACAGGCACAGGGTTGATCCTCAGGTGATTTATACTGAACAGAAATTGGGGTTACAGTAAGGGGGTATGTGGTTTCTTTTTTCGAAAATCCCATTTCCTTTTTAGCCCTAATTATTAATGAATGGAGGAGCCACCCACCCACCAATTTTCTCTGTGGTGCTCTCTGATTCATAGCCCCCACCGAGAATTTGAGCAGCAGCAGCATTTGGATGAAGGGATTCTGAAGCAGTTTGCACTTTCAGTGCGGTGTCTCTGTGAGGCTTGCTCTCCCGAGGGAGGCACCAGACTCCTTTGGAAAGGAGCCATATTCCTGTTACTCTGCTGTTAATTGCTTTCACTGGGGACTAGGACAGAACGGAATCCTGCATTGTACTTCAGAGCCTGCTAATTTGAAAGCTACTAATCCACAAGCCCTTTAATTTTCACAGAAACCTAGGTAGTCTCACCCCTACTTCTCTATAGAGATGTAATTGAGGAGACCTGCAGAGCGGATGCTGACACATATATTAGGATGCCATGAAGTAGTGTCAGATAATTAAACCTAAACAGCAGTTGTCATAGAAAGGGAACGAAGTAAATTCTGCAGTTTAACTGCCTTGTGGGAGTTTCTGTTTTTCTTTCTATTTTTCTGTTCAGTTGGGAGAGTACCTTTTAGTGGGAATTAGCATGGTTTTGTGTTTGATTCTGGTGATGATTGAGGGGTGGGGTGGGAACCTGTTTTGTTAACTACGTCATTAACATAGAAAGGAAAAGTTAAATATCTTCCTGTTGCCTTTCTGAAAAGAAATGCCAAAACAGTAAACTTTTCAAAACACCCCGCATCTTTTAAAAATACTTAAAAATTTTTTTTTTAGAATTTTCAGAGAAAAACCCCAGCCTGAAAGGTTAAACTCCTTTTTACAGTTTGCACAAATGTCATTTGCTTTATAAAACAAGGCCTTGCGACATTACTGCCACCAATTAATAGTCAAGAACCTGTGCTGCATGTTGACTACTCTGAAGCGGTCCTGGAATCATTGGATCAATGAGTGTTAGCATTATAAGAATACTGAGAAATAATCTTCTAGGGCAACATCATCCAATAGAACTTTCTGTGATGATGGAAATGTTGTTATTGAGCACCTGATAGGGCTAGTGGACTGAGACATTGTATTTTTAATTTAATTAAAATTTAAGTAATTGCCATTTAAATCTCCACTTGTGGCTAGTGGCTATGGTATTGGAAAGTACAGGGTATTGAGAAGAGTGCAGGTTAAAAATAGTTTCTACTCTTAAGGAGAGGTATGATGGCAGACTATGCAGTTAAGAAGTCTCTAACTCAGCAGTCCCCTATGCATCTGTCAGTTTGTCGTGGGGGCTTGCTGTTGCTGTGATGCTGGAAACTATGCCACCGGTGTTCAAATACCAGCAGAGTCACCCATGGTGAACAGGTTTCAGCTGAACTTCTGGACAAAGACAGACTAGGAAGAATGACCTGGTGGTCTACTTCTGAAAAAAATTAGCCAATGAAAACCTTATGAATAGCAGTGGAACATTGTCTGATATAGTGCCGGAAGTTGAGCCCCTCAGGTTGGAAGACACTCAAAATACGGCTGGGGAAGAGCTGCCTCTTCAAGGTAGAGTCAACCTTAATGATGTGGTTGGAGTCAAGCTTTTGGGACCTTCATATGCTGATGTGGCACGACTCAAAATGAGAAGAAACAGCTGCAAACATCCATTAATAATACGAACATAGAATGTAC